CAAATAAAAACCACTCAATTTGTAAAAACCGTAAAAACCTCATTCAACCAATCATAATTTTTTATTTTGTTCATTTTTTTGTAATTATAAGAGGTTGATTAACCATTTTTATTGTGGAGGGTGTTAATCATGGATATTATCATCTTCATTATTTTAATTTTAGAAAAATACATGAAACAGTTTCATTAAAGTTTCATTAAATATTATATGAAACAGTTTCATGACCATATATGAAACAAATTCATCAAAAAAATATTATATGAAACAATTTCACAAGATTAAATAATTTCATGAAAAAATTTCATAAGATTAAACAATGAAATCGACGTATGAGGGTGGTTTGTACAGTTTTTACAAATGAGGGTGATTTTTATTTGAACGCTTCTCTCTCTCTCTCTCTCTCTTTCTATATATATATATATATATATATTTTTATTTATTTATATATATTAAATACTTAACCAAACATGTCTGTATTATTCTCTCTCATTCCTATCACCACTACAACAAAAACGGTTTATAGGACGTCTTTTAAAACACCTTTCAAAAAACATCATATAAAAGAAATAACTGGACACTTTAGTTAATGTGTCCTTATTGATACAATATGATACACCACTTAATTTGTAGGTCTTATTAACCTAATATGACATCCTACTATTATAATGTTTAATGTGACACTTTTTGAAAAACGTCTTATAAAAGGAGTTAATAGGACACTTAATTTGTTTGACCTATTAAGCTAATATGATGTCCTATAAAACCACTTATTGGTATGCCGATATGTGTTACTAAATGTAATAGTAGGTAAACATATTTTAAAGCGTATCAGGAAGTTTTTAATATTATGTAAAACATTTTTATAAGACCCTTGAATTTGTTTCACAATTATAAAACCACTCCCACTTTTGTTTTAACAACTTATTACAACGCCTTTAGATGAGACACCCATGTTTAGTCCTATAAATTTAAATGTCCTGTTAAATAGGTTTTTAGAACGCCAATAGGTGCCCTTTTGTTGTAGTGCATAAAAAGGCAAAGATTCAGGATACCCATATAATCCTCGTCACAATGGGAATTTCACAATCAAAAGGGCCTTGTTTGACTTAGGAGCTAGCGGAAATATTTTTATAAGATCAGTGTAAGTTAGGTAACTTATAGCGACCTGCAAGTGTACTACCATAACTTGTTGATCCATTAGTAAGGACACCGAGGGCTCGAATACATGACTGTCAAGATTGAAGACTTCTATTCCCCGTAGACTCTCCAGTTCCTTGTATTGGATATTAAGGACACCTATAGAAAGAACAATCTATCGATCAAGAGTGGCTAATACTATGTTTGGTAACCAAAAGTTATGTACGGACATATGGACGCCATCCTCATATCGTGTACTCCTCTTACATGAGGATAGAGACTAAGGGGCCGTTTCCCAAACGTTTATCCGGATAAGTGTTTATTGGCAAAATTCAATACTATTACTTACTTATCGGACAAGATTTTAGTCCACCAAAACGGTATTATATGCAACAATTTACCCGGTAAGCGCTAACCGTGGTAATAGTTATCGTCCTCACTTACTGGGTAAGACTCTAGGTCTTTGTCTTCGTTCTTACCGGGTAAGATTTTGGTCTTAACCATATTCATCAGTAAGATAATGTAACTTGATAAACACTTACTGGGTAAATGTTTGATAAAGACCCCTAAATCCGTAAAACCTGCAAACCTGAGACCATAGTGTGTCGGTGATTGGTAATATAATAAACAAATCACAAGGATGAAATCAGAAAGTTTTAACAAATGACAGGGACCAAAAATGTAATTTACTCTAAAATCCTCCTATAAATTGGTATTAAAGCCTCCAAAACCCTAAAAAGCCAACTATAAATTCACTACTTCAGCTTCTAGGGTTTCTCCCACCATTTCGTCTGTTTTCAGCCTCTTCTATCATTTTCTCCTAACCCTCTCTACCAGTAACGAAAATGGCGGATTCGTTGGTGTTGCGCGGCACCATGAGAGCCCACACTGATTGGGTCACCGCAATTGCCACCCCAATCGACAACTCCGACATGATTGTCACGTCTTCGCGTGACAAATCCATCATCGTTTGGCGCCTCACCAAGGAAGACAAAACCTATGGTGTCGCCCAGCGCCGTCTGACTGGTCACTCCCACTTTGTTCAAGACGTCGTTCTCTCATCCGACGGCCAGTTCGCCCTATCCGGATCATGGGACGGTGAACTCCGTCTATGGGATCTCAACGCTGGAACCACCGCACGCCGGTTCGTTGGTCACACCAAGGATGTCCTCTCTGTTGCATTCTCGATCGACAATCGTCAGATTGTGTCTGTGTCGCGTGACAAATCCATCAAACTGTGGAACACACTCGGTGAGTGCAAATATACAATCCAAGATGGTGATGCTCACACTGATTGGGTAAGCTGTGTTCGTTTCAGCCCTAACACATTGCAGCCAACGATCGTCTCAGCTTCTTGGGATAAGACAGTGAAGATCTGGAATTTGACTAATTGCAAGCTGAGGTCAACTTTAACCGGCCATGCCGGATATGTTAACACCGTTGCGGTGTCTCCGGATGGTTCTCTGTGTGCTAGTGGTGGGAAAGATGGGATGATTTTGCTATGGGACTTGACTGAAGGAAAGAGACTGTACTCTCTAGATGCTAGTTCGATTATTCACGCCCTCTGTTTCAGCCCTAATAGGTACTGGCTATGCGCTGCTACGGAGTCCAGCATTAAAATCTGGGATCTGGAGAGTAAGACCATTGTTGTGGATCTTAAGGTTGATCTCAAGCAGGAGTCTGAAATGGCAGCTGAAGGCACCGCTACGCAAACCAATGCTGGAAAAACTAAGGTCCTACTTTTTGTTACTTATTTATGCTATTTTATCTATGCTGTTGTTTGCATCTGAATATCAATGCTTAATTGCGCGCGTTTTAGGAATCATAATACCCATTTAGAAAGATTTCAATTTCAGATTATGAATTATAATACCCATTTAGAAAATTTTCAATTCAGATTCAAAAATGATACCTTCAAGATTTTGCTGTTTATGATGCACTATATAAGACTTTAGTGTAGTTATCAATTTTTTTTCCAAGAAAAAGGAGATGATTGTCAATCAACAGCCAAGTGTTTCATTTGACACTCAAATGTGAATTTTGGGATACAGATGGTTTTACTTATTAGCGGGTCTATGCAATCTTTTACTTCTTGAGTAAAAAGTAGTTGCTTGGTTTTAGCTTTCAGAGTACTCGTTCTGCTTGTAATCATCCCAACGAGGCATTTTACTCTCGAACTTTAAAACATTTTTGTTGTGATTTTTACTAGTTTTATTGAAAGCTAAAGTCAAGCACAATGGTTAAACATGCTTATGTTTCCCAGTTATAATGTTTATTTTGGCCATCTCTGCCAACTACTATGGTTATTGGTTTTAGTTACTTTGGGGATGGTTGTTTTTTGCTTATACATTTTCACAGGCAAATGATTTTGCGCTATTTGTTGTATGTTTTTACTAAAATAACATGTAATTGTGACAAAAATAAAACCTGCCTAGCTAATCCAATGTGGGTCTTGGTGATTTTACTTAAAGAAGCTAGTGTTTTTTCTGCTTCTGATTTGTTGATGGTGTTTTCTAGTTGTAGTAGAACTTTTCATCGTTCATGCATTCATCTAACTATCCAGCACTCATCGTAGACTTGTAATGTGTCTCCTTTTGGGACCATCTTGCCTGTTTATTGCAATGCGTTGTGCATCTAATAGTCATCTCTTTTTGTTAACTGGTAATTCCCCATTTTGTGGGTCCATGTATACTAGATTCTCAAGTGTTTGTAACACTGGTAGTTTGGACCTTTGACTTTGATATACATGTTTGAAAGGTGCCATGAATCATATGTTATGATCTTACCTCCCCATACCCCACCTATGGGTTCGCTTGGTTTATGCATTGCTGTCTTGTTATTTGTTATTACACCCTTTGTTCTAAAATAAGTGTCTACATTTCTATTTTAGTTTGTTTCAAAAGTATGTTTTGACTTTCAACTCTACCTTTAGTTATGAGGTGAAGAAATTTATTACTCTCTCTACTTATCAAGGGTAAAATTGTTGCTTAGTTGATTAAGAACTTGGTAATAATAACACACATGTGTATTGTATTGTGGAGATTTATTTTGGGATGAAGTATAGAGTGAGAAAAGATGGTGGTTACTGAGAAAAAGGTTTTTGATGGACAGGTTATCTACTGCACAAGCTTGAGTTGGAGTGTGGATGGAAGCACACTGTTTAGTGGATATACAGATGGAGTTATAAGAGTTTGGGGTGTTGGTCGCTACTAGAAACGATCAAAGGTTAGTTGCAGGCATCGTGATGGCTATTTCGATTAGGTTCCAGTTTTGGAGACATTTTTACTTTGTGTTGTTTCTTGAGTTTACTTTATTATACTTCTCTATCAATACCCTTTAATTTTTGGCTTTTCTTGATGAATTTACCAAGTATGATTGTTGCTGGATGCATTATGCAGAGTTGTGTTTTATGTACAAGTAGAATAGACATGAATGGGTTGTCTTCTTTTTTAAAATACATGTTTTTAAGAGTTTTAGGTTTGACAGTAATGTTTATTTACAAGTCTTTAAATAAACATGCGACTTTGGTTAATATGTTTTTTTAACTTACAGATTGTCTGTGTGGTTATATGATAATCATGGATTGGGCCTCCAATCGGAATAATTATATGTATGGTCATTATGGTTTCATTTTTGTTCTAGTTCTGTTAACTTGAGTTCCATTAAGTCAGGGGCCGATTCAAAACTCAACGTGAAGCCACCCTTCTTGGCTATGATCTTCATAGGTTCATAGATGGCTCTTCCCTTGCGCTCTCTAAAACCATCCAATCTCAAGGTCCTCTAGATGTTCTTTGTAGCGACATTTGGACATCCCGTATACTTTCTTATTGATGGATACAAAGTATAATAGTTGATCACCATTCTAAATATGTGCGGTTTTACCCTCTAAAAAAATGCACAATAAGTTCAAACTCTTGGTTACAAGTTCTTTGGTCGACATATACTTACAATTTTGAGTGATAATGGTGGTGAATACGTTGGTCTAATTCTCGTACTTGAATAACATGGAATAACTCATCTCACTTCTCCTTCTCCTTCTCCTCATACGACCGAAGACAATGGCTATTTAGAGTGTCGTCACCGTCACATTGTTGAAACTGACACATTCTTCCATTACTCAAGCCTTAAAAAGCCCAATATGTCGTGATGCCATGCAAACTAAACACAATGCCTTGCTCAAAGATAAAACCTGGGATCCTGTTCTCCCTTTTCCCTCACAAAATCTAATTGGTTGTAAGTGGGTCTTTAGGACAAAGCTTAATCCAGACCGTTACAAGGCTCGCCTTGTAGCTAAAGGGTTCAACCAACATCCTGGTCTAGACTACACTTAAACTTTCAGTCCTCTTAGTTAAACCCGCCACAATTCATATGAGTGGTCTCTCTGTCAAGTTGACAGTAATAGTGCTTTTCTACAACATACTATTCTTTCCATACTCATAACCTATGAGTGGTCTCTCTGTCAAGTTGACAGTAATAGTGCTTTTCTACAAGGTTCCCTAATGGAGGACGTGGTTTTAGTCCAACCCCCTGGTTTTGTTAGTCAATCTTATCATACTCATGTTCGCAAACTTCCCTAATGGAGGACATGATATCCAATAATGATCGGTCGGTTCTAATTGGATTAGTCGGTTCCAATTGGATCGGTTTATTTTCTGCACACCCCTAACTATTGTCACCATGATTGGTTCCTTCGATGTTTATATGTTTGTTGTTTATTTTGTTTTGAGTGTTTGATTTGGTGGACCGATCAACTTGGATAATTGTGAAAGTTTAGGTTTAATCATCAAATTTTTTGTTCATCTCTCTTGATCCCAAGCTTAATATAAAGAGAAAATGATTTGTCAATTTGGTTGTTAGGATTTGAGTTTGATTTTGATTTTGAAGTTTGAGTTTGATTTTTAGTAATTTTTTTTTTGAGAAAGGGTTTGGGAGGAGAAAGACATGCAAAAGGACCAAAATACTCCTCACCTAACAAAGTGAGTTAGCAGCCGTTCCGTTAGTGACATGGACCAAAACGTCATGAAAATACGAACTCTATGGGATTATTTTGAAGTAAAAGAACTATGGGACTAAATCCAAGACACTTAAAACCACATAGACCAAATCTGTAATTTACTCTTATATATAATATACTCTTTTACCTTTAAGTGAATCAGAAGAACAAACGCACAACAACTGAACCACGAACTCGATGGTGAGAGTACACAACGACGAGGAGCAGAGGAGGGGGCAATTATCGATTAAGGTTTCATTTAGCCGAGAAGAGGGACGAATACGATTAGGCGTGTCTATAAAATTTAAAATTTCCCTTTTGGAATTTATTTAAGTTCAGTTAAACCCTTGAAGTTTATAAGATTGATCACCTAATTTATTTTAATTTAATTTATTAAAAAATAATGTATTATTAAAAAAAAATATTTTATTTTACCAGTAAACTACTTAATATTTTTTTTGGATACCTACTGTGACGACAAGTCGAGGCCGTTGATTCTTCCAAATTTTAATTTTAGAAAACATATTTCCGTTTTATTTTTATTTAAAAAAACTATTAAAAAATTGGACACCGACTGTCGACGTTGTTGATTCTCTAGAATTTTAATTTTTAGAAAATATATTTTAATTTACTAGAAAACTACTAAATAATTTTGGACGCCTACTGTGACGAAAAGTTAACGTTGATTATCCCGAATTTTATTTTTCAGAAAACATATTTCAATTTATTAAAAGAAAAAAATTTGACACTTACTGTGACGACTAGGGATGCTCATGGGTTGGGTTGATTGGGTTGAAGACATTTGAATAACCCAACCCAATTCTTGCGGTTTGAAAAATCTTAATCCAACCCAACTCGAACCAAAGTGCAACCCAACCCAACCCGTACGGGTTGGTCGGGTTGATACTTTGGTATATTAAAATATTCTTCTAACCTGTAATATGTTATTTCTCTACTCATAATTTCTTTTTCATAATCAACCATTTGATACAACTTATCCATAGTTATTACGTATATCACATTCAGTTAATTTTCTCAATTTACATATATATGTTCACATTTACTGAACATATATACGAATGAGTTATATAAAGATGTGAATAGATTGAAAACATGTGTATATGAATACCATACATGATCGTGTAATTACCTAATGTACATACTATAGAAATTCAACAATCATATTAAATCCAAGAAATAAAAGGATATCGGGTTCATCGGGTTGAGTTGAGTTCAAATAATAGTAACCCAATATCAACCCAATACCTACGGTTTGACAATTTTACAACTCGATTAGACATCGGGTTGGTTCCGGTTGGGTTAATCGAGTTGGTCGGGTTTTTGAGCACCTCTAGTGAACAAGTCGACGCCATTGATTCTCCATAATTTTAATTTTTAACAAACATATTTTCATCTACTAAAAACAATCAAAAAAAATTTGGACACCCGCTACGCCGACATGTCGCTGTAGGTGCTTATTTTATAAAAAAGAATTTAAACTCTTCAGCATATGTTATTGATCGTGAGCCGTAAAAACAGCTCATAATCATATGATGCTTGTCACAGATAAAAAATCATTTCACTATCTATAGCGACGAATTCCTAGTCGTCGCTAAGCCTTCGTCGCTATAAAGATGATTTTTTGTACGGAAAATTCTGAATCCAAATATGTTGGTAAGCACTTCTGCATCTCTATCTGAAAATATTTTTTAATTGTAGAAATGGATAATAGACATCGAATTTCATAATCGAACTTATTTAAACACAGTTATTTATGTAGTTCGATCGACCTATAAAACCGACAACAAATATAGTAAAGATAATCCAACAAACTCGAAATCAGTATCACACGGAATCGTAAAATGCGTTACGTTTTATCACGTGAAAAATTATATTCACATCATAAATACATACCAAAAAGTATCTGTTCGACTCTTGTACTGTCTAAAAACATATTTTGACCATTTATCATCAATTTATGTATTTAACGATCACACCTCATGTTATAAACATTTTTCACTCGTTAATCCTGTTTTTCGACACATTTAGAGAATGGGGGTGTCGAAAAATAGCACTAATCTTTCCATTGTGTTGATAGAAATTCACTTCTACAAGGTTTAATTGGTCAAATATTTTTTGATTCGAAGAACGTGATCATAACATGAGGTATAATTAATCGTAGAATAAATAAGTGTATAATTTTAATGACCAAAACTTACGGTTTATCAATAATACAAGAGAAATGAATATTTTTTTCTTGTATTTTATTCAATACAAATGCGTTTAGTTGTATTTAGTTCGTTAATGTCTGTTGTGGACTGTTAGGAGAACACCATGGATCGTCGGTGATGAACTGCATCCAAGATTCGTCTTTATCATCTTCGTCTAAGCATGATGATGACGCCACTGGAACATCTGGTGACATGGTCTCGTAATCATTGGTAACTGTCGGAGAATATTGTACCATGGACATGCTTGCATGTCCGTTAATGTCTTCGAGTTCAACACACACTCCATTCTTCTTGAAAACACGACATAGTGCATATGAGTCCTGCGTACATTTACGATGAATTTAATTTTTTTACAAGAATGCCAGACAATCAATTTATTTGTTGAATATATCCATACGTATATACATATGCACATACATATATACAAGGGAGAAATGAAATGAGAATTGAGAACCATGACAACTAGTGAAACATATATAGTTTCACATGTGAATCAATACCCCATTGTTTCACATTCGATAAAATACCGTTTCATGTGAAAAAAATAATACCCCGTTGGATACTAGCTTTAGATGAAATTCAATGAATGTTTGAAATTCGTTTTCACATGTCATTTAGTTATATAGGGAGTTAGGTTCATACAAGAAATACAAAAAGTTTGAAAACGTATGAATAAATATTCATATATGAATCATTAGTAAAATAAAATGCGTGTTCACATATGCATATTCATTTGTGAATAATAGGTTATATGTAGATAAGCAAATATTTGTTTTCTCCATATATACTAATAATTCATATATGAATTATTTGTTTGCATTTCTCAACCTACGTATGTATATTAATAATATAAATAGAAAGGAATGGTAAATGCATATATTTAACCTTTATGATCATGAGTAGTGATATGGGGATGGGTGAAGATACTTTTGTCCGATTAGAGTAAAAGACAAAAAGTAAGTTTAGACCTTTGCTTTGCAATCGAGGAGATCTATGATTCATCACCACCACAAGTAACGAATATATGTATATATATATATATACATATATATATATACATATATATATATACACATATATATATGTATATATATGTGTGTGTATTTATATATATATATATATATATGTATATATCGACATGTATACATACATATAGAGGGTTGAGTTCACGTGAGACCAAAAGTTTTTCGTAAGATCCATAAAACCAATTTATGTTCATTGATCAAATTTATAAGCTARTGATCTAATGGTCTAAAGTTGCACGGTGACAATTTTGTGATTATTGAAAAGTCTCGTGGCAATTTTGTGATTATGAATGTTCATATTGTTGATTTAATCCAAGGGTTGAGAATTGGTCTTATGGGTCTCACGAAAAACCCTTGGTCTTACATGATCCCAAGTCTACATATAGGATACATATATAGATGGTTGTGTTCATGTGAGACCAGTCTGTTTTCGTAAGACCCGTGAGACCATTTTTTTTTTACATTTGAAACTTAAATGAACCATTATGGATTATTCCAATCAATCTCATTTTAGAGAGAGAAAAGGAAAACACTGGCCAATTTCACATGAGCTTCAGGTAACCAAATATGAACCGGCACGAATACGCTATCCTAGATGGAAACGACTTCCCCACGGAGCATTAGAGAGCCTTGTCTTGAGAGTGAAAAGAAACCTTCACTGCAAAACGCTGTGAAGGTAAAAAAACCGAACATTCACAGCAAAACACTGTGAAGGTTACCTTCACAATGTTTTGCTGTGAAATTTAAAGTGTAAAAAGTGGTTTCATAGGTTTTACGAAAACAGATTGATCTTACGTGATCCCAAATTTATATATAGATATACATATATGTGTGTATATATTTATAATGGACATCAAATATTTGGTTCGGACCCAAGACCACGGATTGAAATATTCTTATCTTTGTTTCATTAACAAAATGTAAATACATTAAATTTTTATATATTTTAAATTTATTTAATTTAAATTCAAATTCTATTTTTGACGATCTACGATCATGCGATTGACGGATATAAATAAAACGTGACGAGTAGATACCTTTATGAGTTATTAAGAAGCAAAAAATGACACATTTTGAGACAGGTGTTCACATAATGTTGAAATTTTAATGATAAATGTGAAATTACTCGACTATTTTTAACTTTAATCCGCTTGTTGTAACAAATTTTGTTATTGTAGTATTATATATTCAAATTCTTAAAAGTTATAACAATTACTATATAAAGTGCCCTAATTTATAAAAATTCAAGTTAATTTACGAGAAACGATACCTGGATACCGAATGTGTCATGGGAATCTTTATCGTCGAGACGATACTCGTGCATGACCCAGTCCGTTCTAATTCCTTGAGGCGCACGCCCGCGGTAATACACCAACGTCTTCTTCATTCCAATCGCACGATTATTCTGGCCTTGGCTCGTAACCCTCCGATCCTTACCTGTTGATTTCCAGTATCCGGCCCTTGTCGCTCTGTTTGTTCTGAACCCATTTGGATATTTTCGGTCTCGTGGTCCAAAAAAATACCATTCGGGATCTCGACTCGGCAAAAACGACTTTTCTGCATGCCCATTGATCGATCAATATATACATACTCGCCAATATAGAAATAACATACATTTGCATATTGAAACAATACTCATTTATCGATCTATAGACTTCAAAACACATCACACGAGTTATACAATGTCTCGTATTTACAAGACGTTTCGCGTTCTTAAACATTGCAAATCCAACTAGCCCGAACGCGTAAAACGCATATATAACAGGCGTTTTTTACACGTCTTTAGGAGTTGATAGCACCTATAAGATTCATAACAGATCCTTACCCATTAATCAAACCAACTTGTAATACAAGAATATGAGAAACCCTATTAGATTATCATCCAATCAGATCGCTCTTCCTAAGTATCCTTGAGAAGTCAAAAATGGTTTCTGACATATATATGTATAAATACACACACACATATATATATATATATATATATATATATATATACACATAGAGAGAAGAAATGACACTACAACAAAATTGAGTTTATATATATAGGATATTAAAAATGTGTAAGTATCCTAATAAATTGGTTTTTAGAGCTTAAGTTTACAGAATCAAACAAGAAAATGTTATAAGTGTTACAAGAAGTTTATAGAACATCTTTGACTATTGCAAACCCTATATATATATATATAGTTTGTTTCAAATGCAACCAATCACATTTGTAATGCAACCCAATAAATTGAAATATTTATGGAAATGAAGAAAGTTCATTTATTATGATTTAAATATTTATGGAAGATGAATATAAGGTTCATTGATTATGATCAATACTTAATATTATGAAACAATCAAAACTTCTATGAAATTACATATTTATCAAATTAAATGGACGGTTGAGATTGAGTTGTATTGATTGTACAAATGTAAGGGGTTGTATAATAACCCACCTCTCTCTCTATATATATATGTATGTATGTATGTATGTAAAGAAAGAAGTGGAAGAGAAAAAAGAGAGAGAGACCTGCTAACTCCCATGGTTCACATTTATAGAGATCAACTTCAGGAATGATATCGAGTTCAATCTGTTGGCCATGGATTTTTCTTTTGAGATAGTAATTCACAAGCTCTTCATCGGTGGGATGGAATCGGAAACCTGGAGGTAATCCCACCGGCGCCATTATTTAACTGATAATTCTCCAGCCAATTTAAGTCCCCGATCTGTTATATACAGATTTTCTTATATGTTATGTGTCTGTCTGCAGATTCAAAGCCATTTCACTTTGAATCAATATCATCTTTCGCTTTTTCTTTAATAGATTCTTGGACAAACGTTTCTCGGAAGCCATTTTACACCAACAAAATTAAACGAATCGTCAAGCTAAAGGTTTAATTTGTGTATAACTGTGTGTATGTATATATATATATATATGTATATATATATGTATATATATATATGTGTGTATATATATATAAAAGAACGAACAGAACTTAAAATGGATGTCCAGAGTGTTTTCATGTGATTATAACGTCATCTTTTATCTGTTTGACGTCATGTTTGCTTTTGTGTTATATATATATATATATATATATATATATATATATATATATATATA